GAGTAGCCTACAACTCATAGCGACCCCATGTATGATAGCTCTGAACCCTGCCCTCTCCTGAGCCAGTCTAACTGATTCTAACAGCTAACCCCATTGCCCTAGTTACTGTATCAATCCATTTCATCCAGGGTCTTCCTCTTCTATGCTGTTCCTCCATCCTTTCAAGCATTGGTCCCTCCTGGCCACATGCCCAAAGTATATAAGATGGAGCTACAAAATCCTAGCCTCCAAGGAGAAACTTGGTTTCACCCTCTCAAAAACAGGCCTATTTTTCTTGGCAGTCCATGGTATGTTCAAGACTCTTCTCCAGTATCATAACTCAAAGGCATCAATTATTCTTCTATCATCCTTAGTCATTGTCCAGCTCTGATCCATAGTATGTAATTGCAAAGACCTATGACTGGATCAGGTGCACCTTAGTCTCTAGACTGACACTGTTGCTTCTCAGTACTCTGGAAAGGTCCCTAACAACAGATTTACCTAATGCAATTATTTTTTTTTTCTTGTTGTGTATCATCAAATCAGATCCGACTGGCACAGAAGGAGATTGTCCCTACTTCTCCAGCGAAGCATCTGGTGGATTTGAACCAAATGCCATTGGGATTGCAGTACAGCTCCTTGTCACTAGCAATTCTTCTTTAATTTCCTGTTGATTGTGGAGCCAAGCAAGCTGTAACTGTTAACAATCTCAATCTCTTCACCATCTATCATAGTGCTGCCAATTGGCCCAGTAGTGAGAATCTTTGTCTTCTTGATGTTGCGCTTCAGTCCATATTGAAGACAAGAGTCCTTGATCTTTTGCAGCAAGTGCTTCAGGTCTGCCTCAGTTTCAGCAAGCAAGGTTGTGTCATCTGTATAACATAGGTTGTTGATGAGTCTTCCTCCAATCCTGATGTCACATTCCTCCTCATAAAGCCCAGCCTCCTGAATAATCTGTTTTGCATACAGATTGAAAAGGTGTGGTGACAGGATGCATCCCTGACACACTCCCTTCCTGATTTCGAACCATGCAGTGTTTTCTTGTTCTGTTCCAAGGACTGCTTCTTGGGCCAAGTACAGGTTTCACATAAGCACAAGCAAGTGTTATGGGATTTCCATTATTCTAAGGTTATCCACAGTTTGTTGTGATCCACACACTTAAACGCCTTTGCATAGTCAATGAAATACAGATAGATATCCTTCTGGCACTCTCTGCTTTCTGCCAAGATCCATATGACATTGGTAATAGGGAAGAGGTGTATGTATACTCCTTTACCAATAGACAAGGTTGATAATTAATGTCAGGACACACAGCTGGTAAATGATGGAAAATCCACGGCTCATAATGACCCTGTAAGACAGAGAACTGTCTCCTTAGGATTTCCAAGGAAATCTGTGAAGTGACTACTTCATCCTTCTGCAAAGAGGTTAGTGGATCTGAATCGCCAAACATTGGCATCTCAATGTTAATCCACTGTGGTACCAAGTCTCCTTGATAAGTGACATCAATGGGACTAACACCTCCTCCCTCCCCAGGAATTCCTCTTTGCCCTGTTCCTGGAGTCTTCTCTAAGCACCTTCCTGCCTTGGCACTCATTCCCTGGACTGTTGTTACCCTGTTTGATTTGTTGCACTTTCCCCTAGAGCAGTCCATCTCATTAACTTGTTTTTATCATCCAATAGAAGATAATATGCTCCAGGTGTTTTGCTGCATTCCCACTGCTCAGCAAGGTGCTGGCACATAGTAGGTGCAGAAGGAGTGTTTTTAGAAGTAAAGAAGATGGTCGAGGGAAGGCTTTGCTGTGGAAAAGACATTTGAGCTAAGACCTGAAAAGGAGTCAGCCATATAAAAAATCTGGGAGAAAGGCATTCTTAACAAGAGGGAAGAACAAGGCAAAGGCCTTTAAGGCAGAACAGAAACTGGTGTGCTTAAGGAAGGGCAGGTCTGTGTGTTTGGAAGAAGGGTTTGAGGGCTCAGAATGGCTGAGATAAGGTAGAGGATGTGGAGCCCAGCGGCTCCCATACTCACTGCATCACATCTCCTTGCCCCGGTCAGTCCCTCAGGTTATTGGCTACAACTGTGGCAGCAGAGCCACTGACTGAGCTGGTGATGGTCATTGAGACGGTTGTTGTTATTAGGTGCCATTGAGTCGAGTACAGCACATAGCAACCCTATGAACAAAAGATCTGAAACCAGTCCTATCCTGTGCCATCCACACATTTCCTGACACACAGGAGCCCATTGCAGCTATCACCTTGTCAATCCACCTGTTTGAGGGTCTTCCTTTCCTTTGCCCACCCTCCACCCCTCCCAACATCATGTTCCTCTCCAAAAAAGAGCACCTCCTTACAAAACCACCTTTGTCACCTTCTCAGTGCAGGAGGGCAACATGTGCAGCCTCAGCCTCAGTGAGTTTAAGGAACTGGTCACTCAGCAGTTGCCTGACCTTCTCAAGGATGTTGACTCCCTAGATGAGAAGATAAAGAACTTGGATGTGAACCAGGACTCAGCGTTCACGTCCAGTGAATACTGAAGGTGGATTGGGAAGCTGGCCAAGGAGATCAGGAAGGAGAAGACCGTGGAGATGAAGAAGTAAAGCTGCCTGGCAGAGATGGGGTGGGCAGGACCAGGCTGGCCAGGTGGAACCCCACTCCCCTAAAGAAAGCTTCTTTCTTAAATTTAAAAAAAAACAGTAGAGGAAGTGTTGTCAACTCTGACTGACATATACTGGAATTCCTGGGGTACCTTTAAAAAGAGGCCACAGTGATGGTTCAGTGACAGAACTCTCACCTTCCATGTGGAGTTCAGAGTTTGATTCCTGGTCAATGTACCTTGTATAAATAAGACATTATCCCACTGGCATTGGAGGCTTATGTGTTGCCACAATGCTGAACAGATACCAGAGGAGCTTCTAGGCTAGAATGGATTAGGGAGAAAGATCTAGTGACCTACTTTCCAAAACTCAGACAATAAAAACCCTATGGAGCCCATCAACAAATGAATTTACTGAGAAACTGGTACATTTACACAACAAAATACCATGTAAAACTAAGGAACAACTATTCAGTAAAATACTATATACCATGGGAGAATCTAGAAAGCATTATGCTGAGTGAAATAACTCAGTCACTTAAGAACAAATACTGCATAAGATCACAATTGTGAAAATAGGAAGCTAACTGAAGAAGACCAATAAACAAATAAACAAATGTTCAAAGAGAAAGTGCAAAGGGAAAAAGGGTGGCAGAAAAAGGGAAAGCGAGAAAATCACTAGGATAGCAGAAGTTAGGGGGTGAGAGGCAAAAGGTTGCAGAATAAAAGATTCAATGTGGACTTAGAAAGTCAAGGTGATAATAGACATAGATCAGTAGTAATTCATTACATAAAACAATGTATATATTGAATTGTATAAAACAAAATGTACATGATTGAAACACAATGTGTGCAAATAATTATATGTAAATAAATTTTCAAAAATTTATTTCCAATATAAAATAAAATTATACCTTTTGCATTTTAACATGAAAAAAAATAAACACCCTATGGATCCAAACAATTAGATCTCCAACTGACCATAGGGATGGCATGGGGCCCGGGCAGCATTTTGCTGAGTGTGGGAATGAAAGGTATTGCCACCAGTTAGGCCGACTCTGCGGCAGTTCTGACCACCCTAACTTTTTAAAATGCCAGGGCTCACCATGCCTGGGGTGAACTTTGAAAATCGTATGCTGAGTGGAAGAAGTCGGTTGCAAATGAACTAATACCATGTGATCTCATACAGATGAAATAAGCAAATTTCTAGAAACTAAAGATTATTAAGGGCAGGAGACAAGGGGAAAGAAGGAACTTTTGCTTAGAGAGCACTGCATTTATGCTAAAAGGATAGGGAAAATGGCTTCACAGTTTGAGAAGTGTAATCAGGTCACTGAATATACATGTAGAAATTCAAATATAAACGACGTGTAGGCTCTGTTGTGCATATTTTCACCATAATGAAATTGTTTTTGAAAAATGCCAGTGCTTAGACTCTACTCCAGCCCTCTGGGGTATGGAACGCTTTGTTTTTGTTCTTACGTGTTCTCTTTTTAAAGCCTGGCTAAAAGTGTCTTCAAAGCAGGAAATCTGGGATTGATTCTGATTGCAAATAAATGTCACTGGAGATCCTTAAATCGGAGGGAGCACGGGAACCAGCTCAAAAGCCACCTCCTCAGAGAAGCCTTCCCAGATTCTTAGACTCACCTCTACACACGCATTGTGGGTGCAGACCCAGTCAGGGCTCCATCATACCGGTCCTTTATTAAGTTCTGTCGGGTTATCTCCTTCCCCAGCTGCTACTACTTAGTCGCCTCAGTCCAGACAGTCTGGTGACCTTGGGAAAGAGGTCACAAACACTTAAAAGGACAGAATAAAATGAGAGTGGGGATGTAGGGCACCCCTGGCCAAATCAGGAGAAGGTAGATGGTTTTATTAGAGAGGAGGGGGAATTGAGAGAACAGAGCTGGAGCGCAGATAAACTGTCAAGCCCTGCTGCCCAGACTTGAGCATCTCTACTAGGTAACCAACCAGTTAACTACCTGGGGCCTCTAGGCAAGAGTGGGACGCGGCTTTGCAAAGCATAATTTGTGTTTCCCCTTCTCATAATTTGTGTTCCCCAGGCCCAAGTGCTACAGCTATTACAGGAGTAAGAGCCGAGTCCTCACCCGTACAGCCGCGACCCCGCATCTCTGTGAATCGTCTGAGTGGCACGTCTCGTCTCAGTTCACGGGTGGAGGGCTCCCAGGTTTGCCACGAAATCAAAGACGAAGAAACAGCCAGTAGAAACACGGCTTGAAGGCTCTTGGGGCGGGGCCGAGGGTGAAACGGACCAATCGTCGGCCAGCGGGGGAGGGCCTCTAGTTCTTTAAAAGTGTTGCGGCTGTGGCGTGGGTGGGCCTCAGGGCGCTGCAGGTTCCGGGCTCTCTCTGTGGACTACCAGCTACAGAGTGACCGGGCCGGACTCCTGCGTCCCTCACTCGCAGCTATGGCGTCGGCCAGAGGCAGCTGTCGCGTCGCCCGCGCCATCGAGTCGGTGATCTCTTTGAGCAGGCTGACAGACGCGTCGTCGGGGCTGCCCCCCAACAGCTCGGTGGGCAACGGGTCTGAGAGCTCCCGCCCCGCCTGGGGTCCCCGTTGCCTGGACTGCCTGGAGGGGGCGACAGGCGCCGGCGCGGCTCTGGCCCTGCGAGCGCTGATCGCATGCGCCTATCTGGTCCTGTGCGCGGTGGGGCTGGTGGGCAATGTGCTGGTGCTGGTCCTGGTGCGCTCCCAGCAGCGGCGGCGTCCCTCGCTGCTCAACTGCTTCCTCCTCAACCTGGCTGCCACCGACCTTCAGTTCGTGCTGACATTGCCCTTCTGGGCTGCAGACACAGTGCGTGACTTCAGCTGGCCCTTCGGAGGCGCCATGTGCAAGGTAGTGTTGACACTCACCGTGCTCAACATGTACGCCAGCAGCTTCTTCCTCAGCGCCATGAGCGTGGCGCGCTACTGCGCAGTGGTGGGCGCGCTGCGCCCGAGCCGTCGGGGCGCCCCGCCCGCCGCTTGCGTGTGTGGCTTCCTCTGGGCTGCAGCCGTCTTGGCTACGGCGCCCACCACCCTGTTCGCCACGGCGGTCTGGGTGGGCGGCGAGCCTCTGTGCCTGCTCCGCTTCCCCGACCGTGGCCCCGACTGGCTGGCGCTCTACCACCTGCAAAAGATCGCCGTGGCCTTCGTGCTACCGTTGGCCACGCTGGGCACCTGCTCGCTGCTGCTTCTGCGCTTCCTGCGGCGCCGGCGGGCAAGCTGGTCGTCAGGGGTCCGGCCCCGACGGCGCTCCCGGGTCACCCGCGCGTTGGCCTGCGTCCTGCTGGCCTTCCTGCTCTGCTGGCTGCCCAACCAGGCGCTCACGCTCTGGGGGGTGCTGATCAAGCTGGACGCCATCCCTTGGGACCGCGCCTATTTTCTCGCCCAGGCCTACCTCTTCCCCGTCTCCATCTGCCTGGCGCATGCCAACAGCTGCCTCAATCCGCTGCTCTACTGCTTGTTGCGCCGCGACTTCCGCCAGGGCTTGCGAGAGATGTGTGGCCGTGCCAAGGGCACCCCGAACCTCAGACCCGGCTCCGAAGGCCGTGCTCCAGCATCCACGCTCTCCAATAACCAGGCCTGAACATGAAGAAGCACACCCCTCAAGGAGGGCCACCCACTCCAGCGACAGAATCCAGGAGATGGGCAGAGTTCGAGGTGGGGTTGATGATGTCAAGAAACAGTGTCCAACTTGCCAGGTTCTGGGGTCCTCTTCAGGGGCAGGACTTGCCTGCTGGAGGTGGAGATAAGCCTGAAAGAATTTGCTTCTATCCTGTGTGACCAGGGGTGAGTCCCTTACACCCTGGCCCCTGTTTCCCCGTTTGCACTAGGAGAAATGGAAATTAGGTGAATCATGGGGCTGCTGCTTGATAATTCCTGGCACTTCTCTCCAGACTGTGAGCTCCATTTAATACTTTTAAAGGAACTTAACAGTCTTGGCTCCTGCTTTGAGTTTCCCTTTTATTTTTACCAGGGAGCTGTGTGAAAGAAAGGTCAAGGTGCTTATCAACCCGGGATGGAGGGATGGCAGGCTCCAAAGCAGCCCTTCTACAAGGCCAAGGCATGCCTGCTCCATGTACACTCCACACCCCACGTATCACTGATTCAGCAGTGTACTGTGACCCCGAGAACGCTAGATGTTGGGTAAAGAGGGTCTATGAGGAGCAGTTTAGAGGGACCGGACTGGGCAGCATAGAAAAGAGGGGTTGTGGTCATGTCACTTCCTCCCCCCACGCTGAGTGGATCAGCAGTGGCCTGAGTGACCCCAGAGGGCAGAACCGGGACCTAAGGGAGAGAAATAGATCCCAACCCCTAGTTATGATGAACTGTTTTCCATTTTTGATCCACTAATCAGGTAATGAGGTCTCTGTCCATGGAAGCATTCCAGCAGAGATAGAATGGACACTGACATAGAGCATTGGAGACAGAACTGATGTATATCAAATGAGGGTGTGGAGTGGCTCGATGATTTCAGCAGCCCCTTTTAAAAGCCTGCAGAACCAGTGCCTAAAATGAGATAGGTGGGTGAATGGCTTCAGTGCTTGCATGATGCTAACCCTTAGCAGTCAGCGTCTTCTCTTCCTGCTCGGCCGACATACCCGAAAAGCAAATCAGAAGACAGCCAATATAAATCCCTTCTCTGTTAGGCAGCCGTTGATTCTCATAGTGATGCAGAGTCGCCATAAAGCATTCTCAGCACACATCGCTTAAGGAGATTAGGTGGCCAGAGGTCAGAATTCATATTTACATCCTTGCAAAGATCTGCACATAAATTCTATGCCTGATGCTTCTGAAGGTGGAAAAGTTGATGCTTGAATATAAAGGGGGAAGTCCATTCCTTCATACCTGGTATCCAAGCCAGGAGCCCACGCAGAATACTGAATCAACCCAAACATCTGCAGATGTGTCCTCCCAGAGTAGCGTGGAAGTGGGGGTGATGTTCCCAGCTAACATGTGATGGAGTGAGCGTCCCAGGGCCCCTGAGGGTGGGCAATACTAGTATTCCTTCAATATACCACAATATGGAGGAATCTTGGTTTCTTACAGTGTTGCTCACTTAGAAGGAAAACAATTTTTGAAAAGTGAGGAACTGCAATGGTTCAGAAGTAAGTCCAATCCTTAATGACTTCTCTTGATGTTATTTTTTTTAAAGTAGGTCATTTTACAATCCACTTCTCCCTTGTGTGCAAGAAGAATATGTTTTATGGGAGCAACAGGAAGAAGGAACGATTACCACAGCTTCCTGCTATCTTGCTACAGCTAAGCCCCTACAGTTGGCTGTAGGGCCAACCCTAAAAACTAAAAGATGAGACATGGAATGCTCTCCCAGGAGAATGCCACACCTGTCTGGGGACCACAAGTGTTCTGAAGCAGGAAAATAGCTTATTAAAGAGATCTGAAAGAATTTATCCCTTATCAAATCATGTTTATATCACAGAAAGTTACAAAACTGATTCCGTAAACATCACACAAGGTGTAGAAGGCAGAGATTCGGCTTAGAATCAGAAAGTCTAGTTAAGAAACCTCTGCTCTTTCTTGCTGTTTGACCTAGAACAAGTTGCTTTGCCTCTCTTAGCCTCAGTTTCCTCATCTATAAAATGAGAGGGTTGATACCATATGCTTTTTCTTTTTTCTTTTTAATAATTACATTTCAGTCCTCTCTATGTTCTTTCCTGTTGTAGTTGTTGTTGGCAACTCTGGGGATCTAGTGGGTTAGGAGTTGTGCTGCTAACTCAAAGACCAGTGGTTCAAATCCATGAACTGCTCCTTAGGGAAAAGATGAACGTTCTCCTCTCGTGCAATTTACAGCCTCTGAAAATCACTGGAGGTTCAGCTATGGGTCCATTGCTACTGGAGGGCACACAACAAAATCAACAGCAACAGTTCTCTACTCACAAACTGTCTTAGAGTCGTTTCTTGCCACAGAGCCGAGATCCTATAAAATACCATAATTACTTAACTCTTTTGAGTTGGTTCTTTTAGCAAAGTCAAGATGAACTTTTATTGGCTCTTACCATAAAGTAGGTCTGGGTGGTGCAAATGATTTGCACCCAATTAATTACATACCTAAAGGAGAGCAGTTTAAACTCACCCAGCTGTACCGTGGAAGAAAGGCCTGGTGATGTGCTTCCAAAAACTCACAACATGGAAAACCATATGAAGCTGTTCTGTTCTTAATACGGGGGGTCACCAAGAGTCAGAATTCGCTTGACAGTAACAAGGGTTGGTGGGGTGGTGGTAGTAGTGATGCAATTCAGTATTAATAGGTTGCCCACTCAGAAGAGAATGATGTGTCTAAGGGGAATTAGATTAAATATACGTCTTGGTAGTCTGGGCTCAGAGTGTGCTTAGCTTTGAACTGGTAACTGTTTGTGAGAAGAGGCCTGGTGTTCCCTGTCGTGGATTCCAGGCTTTGCTTGTAGAAACAGGGCCCATATATGACTCCAGATAAATAGCCACTAATCAAGCATGCAACCAGCGTAGTCCCAGCCCCAGCACTGAGGGGAAGTGGTGAGGCACAGGGCTGCCTGGAAGACTGCCTGGAAAGAGTGAGCCAGAAGCTGGGCACTGGGCCTGAGTGGGTCGTCTATAGTAGTCAATAGGGAAGCACATGGACAGAAGTGCAGAAATTTCCGAGGGAAAGAAAGAATTCCCCACAGCCAGGAGCGCAAGAATAATGAGCTGGCACTTACTGCACACACACTGAGGCAGGCACAGTGCTTTGAATATGTTAGGGTCTCACAAAGAGTCTGAATTAATATTATCCACAGAGGAAACTGAGGATCAGAGAGGTGAGGAAATTGCCCAAGGCCACATAGTTTACAAGCATTTCAAACCACAGCACCTGCCCGGCTTGTAAAGCCCAGACTTTTCATCGCTGTTGGTTCATATGCCAGATGCCAAAAATGGATAAAGTTCTCAGGGAGGTTGAATGAGAACGTATGTTCTAGGCCCAGAAACAAAAGAGGAGCAGGTGCCTGGAAGAAGAATAGATGCTCTGAATGGAGGGTGGGGTTGCTGTGGTGTCAGAGCTGCCAAGGATGATGAGAAGTAATGGCCCGAGTGAATCATCAGCATGGCAGGTGTCGTCATCTATCCTGACACCTTCTCTGGCATGTGATGGAAGGAGATATGTGAGGGAACCCACTGACTCCCAAAGCCCCTTTAACTGGGTAGAGATGTGGAGCCTGAGTTGAAGAGCATTATTAGCTTGCAAATATGGTCCAATACCCTGCCAGTTCAGCGTTCTCTGCTGAAGGTGAGGGATTCTCTTTTGAAGAGAATGGGACGTTTCCTTGGGTCCTCTACCCTAAGTCATACTGCCTGGCGGGCTCTGGAACGCCAGCCTTGAAGTGAGACAGGTGAGATAGAGGTGGTTTGCCAGTTCCTCCTGACCCACACTTGTCTCTTTCCCTCAGGACTGCGGAGTGGCTGAGACTTTCTCTTTACTGTCCACATCACTCCCAGCTCCTCCGTGGAGCCTTACAGGTATTAGAATGCTAGGCAGAGATATTCGCTTAGCCCTTTCTGCAGCCCTCGCCTGCTCTTTGTGAAAGTTTTTGGAGACTTCTGTCTTACTTTGCACCCCTCCTAATGCTCCGTGCACTTTTTCTGTTATGACATGCCATCTCAGTCCTCAGTCCCTGTGGTCCATTTGAAAGTTAAGGGTCAGGTACCAGAGACCCTTCCTAGTCCCTTGCATCAAGCTCTGCTTGTGAAATATGGCCAACTGACACTGAGTATGTTTTTGTGTTTTCTCTTATGAACTATAAATGTCTGTGTCTGATTCTTGTTTGTGTTGATTATACAGTAGTTACTCAATAAATTTTGGAGGAACGAATGCGCACTGCTCTGTATGTCCTCACTTTTCAGCGTGCCTGTGTATGACGTGATTTTTGGTCTCTTTTCTTTCCCTTAACCAACAGGCGTCTTCCTCAACGTTTTCCCATGTTTCAGAAGATGGCTTCTGTATAGGGAGCTCTGGTGGCCTACTGGCAAGAAGCTGCTCTATAAACACAGAGGTATGTGGTTTGAATCCACCAGCTGCTCTGCTGGAGAAGCTCTCCTCCTATACCAGTCAGATCTGATTTGATGGTACATACACAAAAATAATAAAATAAAAAAAATTTTTTAAAAAGATGGCTCCTCAGATCCAGCCACCCTGAGCCTTCTCTAGAACTCACCTTCATTCAGACTATATACTTCACCCATAGCAAGCACAGCCACTGAGTTCATTCCAATTCATGGCTTCTTTCTTCTTCAGGATTTCCAAGGCTCTACAGCTTTCCCTTTGAGCAGCTGTTGGATCTGAACTACTGACCTTCACAATTGGCATCACAATAAGCTATGCACTGTACCACCAGAGCTCCTTTCTATCATTATCCCATTTAGTCCTCAGCATCTTTGAGAGTAAGACTACATGATTGTTCCCATTTCATGGAGAAGCAGAATTAAGACTCCAAGAAGAAAAGTAGAATACAGACCATCAGCTGCAGAGTTGACACACCATCTCAGGTCTACTCAGTATTATCTCCTAGTCATCAGACTGGAGTTAGTCAGGATGGAATGAAACATGAGTATAGT